TCTAACTGCGAACACCTGCATACGAACACTTTACAGAGTATGACATTTGCTTCCCAGGGCCAGCACATAGCTCTCCTGCACTGCAAAATGAATGGCCCTTGCATTTAGTTAAATTTTGTCTGAATTTAGATTAAAATAACCTCAAATCCTGAGTCTGCCGCTCCAAGACATTCATCCAAATGTAGGTTTGCTTCCTTGTCCTTTCACATCACCAAGATGCTAAACCAAGGACCTCCTTCCAACTGCTTTTTATACTGTTTACAGAGAATATGGAAAGGATAAACAATGCTTGTAACAATGGATATTGTTCAAAGATGAAGGGCTTCTTCTGAAAATATCTCATTTATTTTTCATCACTTAGGTGGTTTGATTAACTTTGGTGAATTTTACTGCATTTGGCTATTGATGGCAGGCTGGTTTTATGGCCCTTGAGCAATTGCTTTCACTTTCTGGTTCTCAGGCACAATTCTCCCTGGGCTCACAAAGCCCTTTTACAACAACAATAAAACCTGAATTAAAACATAAAGAATATTTTATTTCTTCACCACTTTTAAAAATACATTTTGAAATTTGGACCTAACACAATCTGACAGTTTGGATAGGTGGATTAATACTGAAAATGCCCATCAGCCATGTTCTTTATAGCCCTATACAGATATTTTAGATGTAAAGCTGTCTGAAGTGCTTGCAGTCAAAATGAATGTGGCAGCAAGAGCGAGAAACCTCAAAGATGAATAGAAAGGGCTTTTTTTGTTGGGTGGTGGCAGTTTTTTTTTCCTGCTTTGAAAGCAAGCTTGAAAACATATATATTTGTTTATATTTGTTAGGGAACGTGGATTACTTGGTTTAAGCATTTGTCCTGAACTTTCAGAGAACCACTACAGTAAAAATGGAATGGACCCCATTAAGGAAAACCTGTCTTGAAAGCAACAGATGGGTACACAAACCTGTTAATCTGAGAATATAGTTACATAGGGTAGGCAATAATTAAATGTAACTAAAATGCTGATACTTTGACCTACAAGGGCAGCTTCTATGCACCATTAGGAATTGCACTTGAGCACAAAATGCCACAAAAGGAAAATACAGATTGACATTTGTAAACTGAATTGATTTTCATTAAAAAGGAGGAAAGATTTTACCCATCCTTAACCGCAGAGTCAGTATTCCAAGATTTTGCAACTGTGCCATCTTATGTCTTCCAGACTATCTTCTGCCATGCAGAGTTACAGGGAGGGTTGCTTATTGTTTCCTTTCTGCAATTTTTTCTTTTGTAAATGGAACAATTTTGTGGTTAGGCAAGGGAAAAAAGTCAACAGCCCTCCAGAAGTGACAGGACTCTACAGAGCACATTTCAGAATGCCCACTCTAAATTAACATAACTGCCTGACATCGAGGGGCTTTTGTACTTTTAAGCACCAATTGCCATTGGAAGAACCCCCGAAATGTTTAAGGCCCCACTCCTACAATGAATTCCCTGTGGGTGGACCTTTGTGTCCACATACAGACCCATTGAAGTTGCTGTGAGTCACCACAAGCAGACAGATCTAAGTTTCTAATTGCTGGACAGGAATACAGACTGCAAGGGGCCTCCCAGGATCATCAAGTCCTGGCCCCAGGTGCTGTGTCAAATAAGCCTTTTTCAATAAACTTCCAGGTTATATTTTAAGGTAGAATTGGTCTATTTGCCCCCACTGCTATTAGGCTTTCTAGCCTGGTTTTGGGTTGGGAGGGAGGGAGGGTCATGTCTTTTTTTTTTAATAAAATGCTGGAAAGTCATTTGATCAAAATAATATTTTATGTAATTTTCTGTAAAAAGTCAGAAGTGTAATGAACATATACCTGTCTTTTTTTCGGAAGCTAAGTGAGAACTCTTACACAGCTCTCACGTAGCAGCACATACATATATTCATTTCTGAGGTCAGCAAAGGCACAAAGGTGTACAGGAGATGCTGCAACCACAGAACATGTCTACATGACTTCATATGCACATTGTGCAAAACACATCCTGCTGGGCTTGCTGACTTTGTTATTTAAAAAGAAATAAAACCCCCTCCTTTCTATGCTGTGCAAACCGTATTTGCAATAAAATATCTCACCAATACAAGGAAAGATGTACAAAACCCCAGGCAGAATTCATATTTTCTTCAACAGCACTAAATGAGGTTGGCTCTCATCTCCAGAGAGGACTTCTGGTGCTTGCTGGAAGAGTCTGTGCTTTGGGGACAGGGAAGTCTGGCAGGAGGCAAGGCCCCTCAGAGCTGTCCCTGCAGACAGGGATGCAACACTGCCTCTGCCCAGGGTCTCTCCAGCAAGTGCCCTTCTGCGTTTGCCCCAGGAACTGGTCACACTGCCTTGGGTTTGTTTTTTTTTAATGCCCTTGTTTAAGATCCAAATAATCAAATTTACTTAATTTGATCTAAATAATGCTTCCCCTTCTCCTCACTCCCCTTTCATGCTGCCCACAGGGGCTCATCCCTCAGCTCCCTGCGGCGCCTGCCCAGCTGGTCCAGGCTGTCCCTGGGCAGCCCTCGCACAACACTCGCAGTGTGGGTGTAGAGTGATCTAAATTGGGATTAATGCATGACTGGAAATTGACTTTTCTTCATGTCTCATTTTTGCCATGTTACAGCCCGTGAGCAACTGTTTTTTTAAAAACAGGTCTGGGTAGTTTGATGCTCTCTCTTCTCTAGTAAGCCTCCTGTGTAAATGCTCTGCATTTAGAAGGTAGGTTTCTCAGCAGTATGCTCACAAGCTGGGACAAGCTCCGGTGGGCCTTGTTGCACCCTCAGGAATTCCAAATAATACTAGTTTACTCCAAAAAATGCTTTACAGGATTTATGGGGCTATCTTTACTCAGGCCCCCACTCCTTCTCTTCAATGCAAGTGGATGTGTTGCATTCCCCAGAGCCTGCACCTGCCTGAAAAACGAGAGCCCCACCACGTCCCCAAGCCACTGGGCTCACATGCCACGTGTGAGCACAACCGGCTCTGAGCCGCATTGCCACAGCGGAGTGGGACCCGTGGCTCCTTCCCCTGCCAAAGGAACACCTTCTCCTCATTTTTGGTCTGTCAGTCATGTTGCAAATATAGTCATGTCACTCAGCTGGTTTCAAGTCGCAGACACCAGTGGTGTGACAGGCAACCCCATGATATCTGTTAAGAGCATACTTGGTTTGAGGGGATTTTTCTTAAAGGGAAAGACATAAAAGTTACTTAGTTGCTGAACTTGCATTCACTCTCTTTTCCATAAAGCCACACAGATACACAGAGATTCTACACTGTATAAGCCCATGGGTTTTGCAAATAGTTTTGTGTCACAAAAAACTATGGAAAAAGGGTTATTAGGTGGTAAACTGGAAAAATAGTAAATCAAAATACACCAAAATGCCACTTCATTCACATACAGCACAGTAATGCTGAGCATTACATGGCCACATCTTGTTTTCCTGATAACCTCGAGGCTCACACATAACATCCTGGTGTGCAGCAATCTGGATATGGCAGAGCCCATAAATCAGCAGGACATGTTACACGGGGTCAGCAAGCCAAGGACTCCAAAAGCTGCGTGTTGAAAAGGCTGCCTGATGAGAAAACCTGGATGTTGTGTTTCTGCATCAGAAATACAAACCACCGTCTGGATGTACTCGGGGCTGGAGATGAAGAAGGCGTTCCAGTTGCAGATTAGTCTGGAGGACACTAAGATGAAGCTTTCAGCCACCAGAGCCAGTACTGCTGGGAGAGCGTGGGAATCAGGGCCATGGGAAGGCAGAGGGATCCCAGGGAAACCATTCAGTATCTCACAGACAGGTTGGTGCTGAGATAACGGTACCTGCTACCAAACATTTCCTCCCTCAAAGTTAATTCAACTTGGCAAAACGTGACATTTAGTAAACCAACACACTGCCACATATTTAGTATATGAATAGCTGAGATATGGTCTATTTTCATTGGGATGTTTCTCTGCCAGGAGCATTCCTCTGTTGTAAGGTTTCTGGGCTATGTCTCCAATCTCCATTATGCAAGGTAAACACTCCCTGGATAACACCCCTGGCCAGAGACCATAAATGCTATGGTTTCCAGTGCTGAGTTATAAAGAGCAACTGATAGCTTTGCTCTGCTCTAAGCTACTGTATTTTACCAGGAATCTGAACAAGAATGGTCTGTCTGTATCACCCATTCATGACAGTATTTGCTTTTCAGAAATTATCTCAGTAAAAATTCTCAGGTTTGAGCTGAAAGAAGCTCTTTTGATTTATTTGCAATGCAGCAGAAAAACTGCTAGGCTACTAAGAAATGTTCATGGTAAATTTATGATGATTAATATTGAGGTTCAAGGCTAACTGGAATAAATGGAACATTGCAGCCAACTTCATAAACTACCCTTGCAGTTATAGAATGCAGACTAAAAATCAAAACAAGACCAAAACCTTCCTAAAAAAAACCCCAAACCTTAGATTGGACCCTAAGACACAATTAAAGATAAAGGAAGACTGAACGATTGGACATTTAGATAGGTAACCTCAACTTAAAAAAAAGTGATACAGTTAGATGGCACATGCTTGGGAGGCTGGAAGCAAAAGGGACAATCCTGATACTCTGAGGCTACCCCAAATGTCAGATATTTAAAATAATATGCACAAGTTCTATGCAAGTCCTTAATTTTGTTTCTACTAGGAAACATATTAGGCTTTAACTTAAAGTTGAAGTACTGAATTATTGCCAAAAACACGATGCAATTTGGTACAACTGCTAAACTAGGTCAACAGTGAGACAGGCGCCATAGCCAACCACATCTGCTTTCAGAGAGGCCTCTCAGTTCTGCAAATGGGGACAAAGAGGGCAAGAAAGGAAAACACAGTACCACAGAGAAAGGAATATTACACTGAGCAGTAGCGAATGAAGAAACACCAGGTGTATTCCATCAGGCTGAACCCTGGAAAGAGGGTGGGAAGCGATGGAGAAAAGCTGAAGATTAGCAACATGAAAACAACACTTACTGATTCGGGATCCCTCTGCTGTTCAAGGAAAGCCGAAAACTCCACCAGCCTGAGCTTGGTCGTACCGATCGATCGGCCCTGCCATGCAGGGACTGAGGGAGCTGGAGCTGACGTAGGCTCAAATCCTAAAGTAAAGGAACCATTTTCATGTAGAAGTTGATAATCCTTCAGTTTACATTTTCTGAATTAAATATAATTGGGAATTATGCATGTAGTTTTGGGATTTTTATTAGTTTTACCACATAACTAATTCAGAACAAGTTAAAATTAGAAAAACACAGAAAAATATGTAGAAAAAGAGGTCCCAACCCAGCAAGCTAATAATGGTGCAAATAAAAGTTCTACTACTTTGTTTCCTTGGGGCCGTAACTCACTGTAGATTTTTTGTTTAAATTATATACTAGATTATAGAGATTTATAGAGACTTCATACAGACTTACAGCTGACCCTTCCTCCGAAACTGGCAGCAAGACTCACAGGAGATATTACTGCCTTGGGAGTCAAGAGGACTGGCCTCCATTTCTGGCTCCTAATGTGCCACATGTTACAAGTAAATCATGTCTCTTTTTGCCTATTTCTTCTGCCACTCTCAATTCCCTTCTCCTATTTAGAGTATAAGGTTTCCAAGGCAGGGGCTGTCTCTCACTATGTATTTGCACACTGGGTCTTTGACTTCTTTTGGAGCTTTTAGGCAGCATTATATTACAGATAATAATAAATAATTACTGTAGAGAGCTGAATCAGACCCTAAAAAGAAAAAGAAGGTTTTAAATTGATAATAAAGAGGGAATGACATGATCTAGATAGAGAAGGGATGTTAACCACCACCTCTAATTCACCTCAACAGAAAGAATAAATGCTATCTCTTCCTCCTCATTGTGAAAAATTAGATGAGAAGGAAAGAAAACAGTAAAGGAATAAGGGAAAGGCAGCAGCTTGAAGGTAAAACTGATCTTGGGAGAGACACAGGCACAAGGAAGGCAGAGGAGAGGCACTAAAGGATAGAAAATAAAGACAATCCTGAACTAGGCTGAGAACCTGGGAGAGGTCACAGGTAGTGTGTGTCCACATCCCGTAATGCGAGTATGGTACCTGACTCCAACCCTCAAACGTAGGCAATGAAGGTGTGAGACTTGTATGAAATAGAGAATTACAAACGTGACTGGTTAGACATGAACAGGAATTCTAATGAAGCAAAAGCTCATGCGTGAGTTTTGACTGATTTAGAATTACTAATAATCCTATTCTGAGAGAAAACATGGAAGAATAAAAGAAGATGATTCAAAATGTCTGCCTTAGAAAATAATGTTATAAACTAGGAATATCAAGAAAAAGGAAATAATCAGGGATGCAGAAAGATAGCCTTAGTTTTAAGCATCAAATAGCAGCAAGTTAGAAAATAGTAGAAAACTGGGTAAGAGTCAGAAAACCGCAGTTCAAACAGAGTCAGGAGCATGGTGTCATTTGGCAAGGGAGCTGTAAAGTTACTTATCATCTGCAAAGAAATCATGATTTTTCCTGAAATTAGCCATGAAACAAACTTGGGAAAAGGAGTAGGGAAGTAGCCATGGAAAGGGCTTGATCAATTTGAGCAATGGAAGTCAGAATAAACATTAGGTACTTATCAAAGTGGTACCAGGCAGAGAAGAACCTTCAGGAGGGGAAGAGTTATCAACAACCAGATACACAGAGATGTTTTATACTTAAGGCTAAACATACATGGTTCTGGAAGAGTTTTTAGCCTCAGTTCAAAATAAATTCAGGTATATTCTTGTTAGAGAAGGAAGTAAGATCGAGCTATTAAAAAAGAAACACGCAACTTATTATTCATTTTTTACAAAGCATTTTCCTACAATGTGATGTGCTGACTGGAGATCACATACCACAATTCCTTGCATATGTATTAGTGCTTCCAACCTAAAATGTAAAAAAAACCCCAACAAAACAAAACAAAAAACCCCAAACCCAATAATTTTCCCTCATATATAATCAGATAATAGGACATTGTGACTGGTGTTTGGTTTGGCTACAGGGAACGTTAGATATGGAGTAGCAGTTCTGTCTATCTCGGGAATTAATACATCACATTCAGTACACAATTCAAATCTTCTTAAAGCAGAGTATAACTGGAAGAATTACCTGAAATGGGAGCTGTGACTGATGGCTGTATAGGATAGGCATGCTGCACGAAAGGCTTTACACTGGTTTTTGCTGAACGAATGGCTTTACGCTGGAATAGATTGACACAAAAATCATACACCTTGTCATCCACAGTAAATTCCATTAGAATCACATAGTATTAAGAAAATACATGGTTAATGACCTCTACCCACAAACATACCCCTTCCTTGCAAAGCCTCTTTAACAGACAGAAAGTAAAAGAGGTGACAGAGAGAGGGGTGGATGAGAATTACACCCAACATCTTAAAGTGAGGAGCTCATCAGTGCTCAGTCACCCAGCAGAAAACCTAACCCACCAGTTGCAGCTGTTGCAGCAGACACGGATGGCGATTTCTTTGACTCCCAATAAATCCAGAGGACACTGAACTACAGGAGCACAAAGATTCCCATGGACCTCAAGGGAGAGGTTGGGAGATGCTGAAAAATAAGGCTGGGAAACATTGCTCCAGGTAGCACTGCAGGGCTGCAAATGTAACACCTGACAGAGGGGCAAAGCCTTCCTTCTCCATATGGTGCTCTTGCTACCATGGTGCTGAAGGGCAGTAACCTCACTGCCCACTAACAGGCCTCATGTGGTCACCTCCTGCCCTGCAGGAAAATATGTCCTCCTTGCTTCCAGTACTGCTCATCTATTTAAAAGAAGATGGAAGTATTTGTGCTGGAAACTTACTCACAGACAAAACCTCACCAGCTGCTTCCCTGACTTTATCATTGCAGCTCACCATGCAATGGAAGAAAAAGGAGCATGCCCACTAGGTATGCAGCTTCAGCTTTGAGGTCCTAACTTTTTGAATGTAAGTTCACACAGAGCCTGTAAATTTCCCCTACAACTATATTCTTTTCAGAAAAATTTGCAAGTTCTTGCCTCATTGATATCCTCTGGCAGCAAAGTGCACAAGCCAGCCCCACACTGCATATAGAAGAATACTTTAATTTTCAGACTTACTCTTGTGAGGATCCAGGCTGCCCCGTTTGAATCATGCCCGGCCAAAACTGAAAGAGGAAAAACAAACAAACAGACCCACAATTGTTTTCTTTGTTGAAAGATTTTGGATATTTCTGAACAAGCATGATTCCTTTTGCAAACACAAGTGAAAGCATTAATCCATTCATTCAGCCTTAGTTTGCTACTGAAGATTGTTAGAGAATACAGGGATTTTTTTGGGACTCGGCTAACAACTTACCCCAGGTGCCCCAGGAAATGTAGGACGGGGAATTCCTGGCAGGCCCAGCTTGTTGTGAATAGCAGTAGCTGAGACTATCTGAGCTGATGACATTGCTGCCATGTGCTGGAGTGCTTTGTCCTTTGCTGTCTGATCCTTTAATATGACAATTACACGGAGTCTTAAAACATTTGGCACAACAAACGATGTTAAATAACTGCAGCTACAAGCACATAACTAAAAACTTAAAAAGCCACACAGAAAATGCAAAAATAGCAAACCATGCAGGGAAAAAAAAATATGGCACAGAGGCTAACACTGAAACTACCTCAAGGCAAAACCTCCTCTCAGACATGCATGGTAGACCTGAATTCTCACAGTCTGCTCTGCCAACACGCAGGAGCTCTGCCCACTTGTTTATCTGGGCAAATTCTGCCGATTTTAAATCAAGCTGGACTAAACACAGTCTGCTGCTAAGGCTCTGCCTGCAGGACAGGAAGCACTGAGATTTGAGCTCTATCATTTAGATCTAAGAGAAGTTTGCCTTTTGTATTACACTGTAAAATGAGAACACAGAACTGCGACTGACTCACAAACAATGACAGATTTTTCTTCATGCTTACAAGTTTAGAAACATTTTGGATTCTGTTTTATGACAAGTATTTTAAAAGTTAGATAACAAAAATGTAAATAACATTTTAAACTTCCAATTGTGGTATTTTATTGATTTACAGTGTTCCCAAAGAAATCAATCAGCCATGAAATTTCTGCTGTTTTCAAGCATACAGGAACAAGTTTAGGAAAAGATGGTTTGTTATCGATTACTTGTATTAGAGCAGCGCCTAGGGTCCTAGTCACTGCCAATCATGTATGATCACAGAATAGAAAAGGAAAGCCTCTTAATGCAACAGAGTTAACTAAGTCAATATCTTAGGTCAGGTAAAATAAGTAAACAACAGACTGTTACTATCTGGTAAAGTGAGGTTCCTCATCCAGAAGCACTGTATTAATAAGTGCTAATATTTAAGTATGTGACTTAGAATGAAGGAACACAAGCAGCATTAAGCAAGGATTTTTTGTGGGGTTTTTTTTCTGGTTTTATTTTACAAGCAAAGTAGCAAGCATGCTGGCAAGAGATGCATGCTCTTATATATGATATATGACTTTGCACATATGCTCCCTCTAAAGCTTGTACGTAGTAGTAGTAGTATAGGTGAGCAGTTTCTTCCTTTGAATAGCTCCTTTAGAAACAGCACAGGCTGAAAGTACAGGAAAAGCTAGCCAAAAATTCTGCCAAGCACAGCTAAGGTACATAATACTTGGTTTAGTTAAAATACTTACCATGCTTGTTACCTGGATACAACAACAAACAGTTTATTAAAATGCTTGTGTAGAATAGCAGATTCTTAGCAAAATATGAACAAAATAGTAAGAGACAAAGGAAGAGCAGTTTGCTCAGCGTTAAACATCAGGTTTAACCAAATGTGTTATTTTCACCTAGGGACTGATTCATTAAAAGGAAAAAATAAAAAGGGTAAAAAACTAACAACAAAACACTATGGGGAAATAACCCCTGCCTCCCTGCGTGAAAGCTGTAGATACTGAACAAAGGGGATTGCTGCTGAGTTTGTTTCCCTGCGCTGTGCAAGGAGTCCCTGCGGCGCCTCAGTGGGATGGAGCCCGGGAGAGCGGCAGGTGGAGCAGGGGAGAAGCTGCTCCAGCAGCGTCCCTGCTCTGCACCTCGCAGGATGGGAGCCTGAGGTGACACCCGCTGCGCTGCTGCCTGCAGCAGCATTAACACCTGTGGACTCACCTGCACGGCCTCTTGCACAGCAGCACTGAAAGCTCCTTTCTGACCTGAGCAAGCCTTGGGAATGCCTGACAGTGCATCTACAGAGCAGCTTCTGGAGATGGGGGTCATTCTATCTATCCATCAGTGCATGGTCACTTCTCAAACTTGTAGCTTTCCCATATAATCATGACCAATCCACTGGGTAAGAGCTGGAAGTCAGCTCTGGCTCTGCCGGCTACTGGCACTCACCTCTGCCTGCCCCAGCACAGGAGGGTGTGCACAGGACATTTGTGCATGGCCATGGCATGTTTTACTGGCTGCCTTTGGATGTCTGCAGACCACTGGGCTAAAAAAGCTTTGGTGGGTGTTAAGAGGTGGTAGTGTCCTGAGATTCATGAAGCTCTCCAAAAAGCTGAAGCCCTCCTGCACAGTAAGAAGAACCCTCTATTAAGAAAGCATGAAAATGAGGAGTTGTCCGTAAGCAATATGGAGACATTAGCCCCACCAGACTTTTCTGTTCCTTTTCTCTCCTATTTTTGTTAGGTGAGCTGGCTTGGAAATGCCAAACCATGCAAGTCTCACCTGCAGTCAGCTGAATCATTAACAAAAACAAACACACAGAGGATCATATCCTGTGTGTGAAATGCACGATTCAAGATCTCTGGGTCCTAGTAAACTCCCAAAACTACGTGAGTGCTGCTTTTGTGACTACCTTGTTATTCTCCAGAACTGCTGCAGCACTACAGCCTCCACTCCTGCACTGTCTTCCAGCCACAACCAGCCATGCCAGTGCCACCACAGCAAAGTGCGGCCAGTGCCTGTGCTCCTGTCAAGTTCCCAAACTCATACTGTTCTGCTGCTATAATGCCTTTACTATTAGGTGGATCTAAACTAAAGGAGAATTTAAAAGTAAAAGCTTTTTTAAGGATATAAAAGTCCATATCTGGGAGTTGCAGGAGCCCAGGGCAAATTACAGATCTATGACATTGCTCATCTCGCCTCGCTTTAGCCATCTGAAGTCTCTAGTCTAAGGCAGACGACTAACCGCCTGCTACTGCTAGTGCAGTAAGCACCTACAATGTATTTCTTCCTTACCAGGCATCAAAACGAACTGGAGTACATGACTTTCTGCAATTTTATCACTGTCCAAGGACTAGAATAGGAGCCTGAACACCCAGCTTCTACATGGCAACAGTTATGGCAGGTAAATCCCACTATAACAGATGAACTAAAGAAAAAATTTCAAAAATGTACACTTCCCTCAAGACCTTTTCACAGAAGAAGGAACACTTAGAGTGTCCTGTGGAGCTCTTAGCTGCCATTAGCAATGAGTCCAATGATCCATAATTTTAGGAACAGTGACAGGGATTTTTGTTTCATGACATGAGAAAGGATGTGCCTTCCTTCTTGCCAATTGCCACTTTTCACCCCAGAATGTTCTACATTTTGTGGTGGCCATTCATCTCATCCTCTTTGACTTATTACATTTTCAGGAGGATGGAGAGAAAGTAAAAATATGGTAGGATGACAGCTCAGAAATACAGACCTTGCAATGGGGCTAGTCTCGAGGAGTTTCACTGACTCCTACAAAGTTTCCCAATGGTAACAAATCTGCCAGCTCCACTGGACATCAGCTGACTCAGGCCAACAGACAACAATGGGAAGTTTCACCTTTTGTAGGCTTTGAAACATCTGCATAGTTGGAAGATCAGTTTTTCTCAAAGTAACTTCATCTTAAAATATTAAAGAAATAAAATTTAAAATCAAATACAAATACACAAGAGGTCCTGACTTCCATTGGCAAAAAAGCACCTCCAGCTCCAGGAATGTTTTGGAGAGCTGCAAGGTGGTGGCCTATACTTGTATAATCAGGCAGACTTCATAGTCTTCAAAAACAAATGGAAAAAACACCTTTTAAAGATGTTTATTTAAATTGAAATATTAGCTTTTCTGCCACTTAAAAAAACAAGTATATGTTGGGGTTTTTTTACACTGTAATGGAGAGCACTTGTAAGCAGGAGGGAATGAGTCTTTCTACCTATCACTGCAATGCGGACACTTCTAGGATGAAACTTGGTAACTGATTAATAACACACAATGGTATTACATCACAGTTTAGGCAGCAAGAGAAGGAATATATCCAATTAAAACGGCAGGGGTAATTTAAACAGGCAGATTACAGTAATTACCCAGGTTGGAATTTGGCCAGGACAAATGGGTAAACACCCCTACTCTAAACAGGAACGTTGTGGGATTTTTAATGAATGCAAATAGTTAAGACTTTGATTTCCTATGTCGTCCAAGACAGAAAGGGTTTGGTTTTGCTCTCACTTGTGCTGCTGTGCAAAGATGGAATAAATCCTTTTGGGTCAATGAGGTTTCTGTATGTAAAATAAAAGTTTGGCCCAGCGTGCTGCAGAGTCTCGTGCTGAGGTTCGGCAGAGGTTTGGGGGGACAGTATCTCCTACTGAATCATTAAATCCTGCTAGAGCTTAAAGTATTCCTTGGATGGGTCTCACCTGGCCCTGACCTGCCTTGACCCTACTTAATTTATGAACTCTGATGGGATTGCTGCTGCCCAGGAATGACACTGCAGTAAGTAACAGACTGCATTCTTAGACCGCTGCCTTCCCTTACCCTTATAAAAGTCTTCTGTGTTGTGGTACGTAATTAGTAATGAATGTTACCGAGGTGGATTTAGAGTACAATCAGTGGAAATCTGGTCTAGTTCCACTAAACCCCTAAAATGTCATCACTGTAATGGAGAACAGGATCTGCCTCACGTTTTAAGCCAACCGCTTCTGGCTGCAGTTGCAAACAACTTTGTTTTTGGAAGGCCTAAGCACTAAGAATCTAATGCAAGGAGACTATATAACTTTTAATGAATCAGGCCCTTGAGGTTTACTTTTCACCCATTAGTTTTTGAATGCAAAATACATAGTTAAATTAGATAATAATAATTCCCCAGTATCATCCAATTATAAATCTTAATATCTATAAAAGCCCCACATGAAACAAGATTCCTACATGACAAGCACAAAAGGATTTGTGCTTGACTTTCTTTTAATCCAACATAAACAGAAGAATAATTCAACCAATCAGTTCAAACAAGTTCTACAGCAAAAAATAAAAACTGTTATCCTAGAATGACAAATGGGGCTTTGAATACCATGTTATCTATGACTTTGGTAAAAAAAAAAAAATATAAGACAGTATGAGGAAAAGTAAGCACAACAGAACACACTATTAACTCAAGAAGCCCTAAAACCTGTACCAATATTTAAAATACAAAACTTTTCTTGTAAGGAAAAAAAAATGACATAAGAGAAGAAACAACAATTTGCTCACAAAATGGATATTACAGTAGGACTAACATAAAATAGATTCCTAATAAGCAATTTTGCAGATGTTATTTCTGCTCAGATCTCGTATTGATTCAAATAACCTTTGCAATAATTAGCTGTAGCTCAAAAAAGATAAACAAATCATGAAAATATACAATTGTTCTGGACAAAAGATAGAGAGCACTTCAGTGTTTCTAGCCCTGATCTCCAATTTGCTTATTATTAGAGAAGACAGGAGTAAATACAAAAGCTGGCTATTTCAGCCAGGCAATAGCTAATGCCAAGAAGAGAATGCGCATTCAAAGCTGTCCCAACTTGCTGCCTAATGAGTAGCAATTAATCCATCTTATTGTATTTCAAAATGCTGAAGACTCCATTCACATCAAAGGGAATTTTTCAAGGCTTTTATCATTGTTCATTTAAAAAGTATAGAGCTATCTTTAGCATTTCATAATTGACAACAATATTTTCTTTTTATCCCTCAATGTGGAATGTAGAATAATGGATTTTAAAACATGTAATACACATGAACTGTAGGCATCTTAATGTTTCTTTTTGTCTCTGTCTAATTAATCTTGCACTATGAAAAAATATCTGAAATGAAAGTCTAAGATAGATGTATATCCTGCTGTGAAGACCTTTACTCTCTATTTCTGCACAATTTCTAATCCATCTTTTCTCCTGAATGGACAGAGGTGACTTGTCAGTGCAAAGGTGAGAAATGCTGCAACCTAACACTATGGACTGGTGTTATTTGACATGGAAATATAACATTAGAGCGTAAAAATTCTGCTTTGCCTCCTCCGGTCTCTGCATGAGAGGAAATGCCATGAAGAGGAGCCGCCTTTCAGATCTATCTCCAGGGACAGCTTTATCTCAGTCTCTCTTTCCATTTTCATGACATGAAATTTCTCTGACTTCGGGAAGATTTTAATAAGCTCAGAAAATTAAGATTAAAATCTCCAAAAGAGGAGTATTTTCCTGCTGTAAAAAGAATTAAAAGGTACAACATCCCTGGAAGGGCTGATGAGACATTCTCTACTGGTGGTCTTGAAATGCAGCAATAGCATTTACACACAAACCTTCTCTTTCTTGCATGCTAAGGATTCACCTGTCCAGAGAGACTGTAGGCACTTATCATCAAAGAAAAGAGACTTTGCTGGACCAAGCAGCAAAGTGAGATGGCACGCAGGTGAGATTTTAACCTATTAGGTAAGCTTCAGTAATGCTCCATCCAATGCCATGGGTGCAGATAGCTCTGAAATCCTTCCACCCCTTTGGATTTTGCAGAAGATAAGCACAAGAAGATTCACCAAAGTCCTCTCCTTGCTATGAGCAGGATTCAGACCAAGGCGAGACAGAAAGATCTCTTGTTATAGAATAAACTCAGCAGGTACTTGGAGAGCAAGAGTTATTTGTTACACCTTTCATTAAAGTAAGAGACCAGGAACTGAAGTCAATGGGACAGATCAGCCACATCCCAAAAGATCACTAAGAAATGCATTATGAAGAAAACCACTAGCAATGGTGTCAGCTGGGGACAAAAGTCTCCGCACTGTGCCTCTGCAATCCTCAGGTGCCTGCCTGTGATTATTTCAGGTAAAGCAGCACTGGCACACAGGGAATGACCAGCTTCTCTGCGATACCCTGCCCCATGTATGCATGGGAGGTGTGCAGAGGGCATGTCTGGTGGCAAGAGGAAGAAACACAGGAGATGGAGATGGCCTTGGGTCAGAGCTGACTGAACTGAGAGCTATGGACCAGCATGGAGGGTCTCTGCATTAATCCACAGAGCGCTTGCCTCTCATGCTGTAGGTAAGAAACTCAACATCAGATGCACGTAGCTTTTTTTAAGTAGTAACTGCTCCTCTGGATGCCACCAATCACAGGTTTTACAGAATAATTGCAAGCACCAGCTGATTGTTAAAAGGGCAAGATTGGCCCAGGTAAGAAGCAGTGCTTCCCTTGGCTCTCTTCTTCTTGGTAATGCCTTCACTGATAAACGTGGGCAGCACCCACTCCAGGAGAACAAGAGCCCATCATCTTCCTGAGGAGGCTGATGGGCAAGTCCAAGCTGCTGCCAAAATGGCCCCTGTTGAAACAATGGGCACTTGTAGATGCCAAAATATACTCACTTTGTCTTACTTTCACATCAGTCATATGCTTCTCAGGCAGTTTTCAAAGGACACTGGACCATACAGATGGTTCAATACAAGAATAATAAGAAAAATGGGCAGTAGCCCTAACAAAACGTCTGCAGCAGCAAAGTTCCTTCGCAGGTCCAAATCTAGTGGCTTCTCCCACTTCTAGGGAGTAATTGCAGCTCCCTGGCAGAAAAGGCAAGGGCTCTCTTTTGATAAAGACAGCTTCCTCACGGCATCTTTTTGCCTCAGAGTTTCTTCTCTTCCATGTGGGAAGAAAAAGGTCTGTGGGAGGCTGCAACTATTCTGGAAGAGGTCTGTCCAAGAGTGCTGATGTCAAGCCATGGCACCTCGTTTGCAGAGACCAAGAACAGCAAGGAAATGAGGAGGGAGATGGGGAGAGCCTGGATTCTCTGCCCTTTCTGGCCACCCCTCTGGCTGGGGGCCATGGAGGAGTCACCAGAGCTGTGATGGGGCTCCTGGGGCAGGATGAGTACCTGAAGCAGGGGCGGGAGGAGCAGCCCAGGACCCACTGGCCAGCAAGACTTGCTGGAGAAGGGCTGGGGCAGCTTTTGCTTCCTCCAGTGGTGCCTGGAGGGTGGCAAGGCCAGGGGCCAGCAAATCTCTGTCACCTGTGTGCACTCTGTCCTCAGCATGCAGTCGTAAAGAGTCAAAGCAAATGTCTCTGCAGAGCATCGGGGACATGGAGGTGGGAGACTCTTCCTGAAGCAATCCGTTTGTCCAAAATGGCGGCTCCCCTACTTTCTACTCAGCTCTGGGGGAGCTGCAACCCATCAACAGGTGGAAAGGGGCAGCAAAATCTGAAGCCCTTACAAAATATTTTGTTGCCCTAACAGTTCTTTCCTTCTTCAGGTGACTCCTCAAAATGAAAAATCCATCCAGATCGCTATTTACTGCAAATGGCATCCAGGCTAGAGGTCTGAAATGTTCCTAGGGTTTACCTAGCTTCTTTCTTCTTCTGAAAGCTTCACTAAAAATTAGACAGCAGGTGCAGTACTTAAAAATATTTTTTGCTTTATAAGTGTCTTTATATTTGAAGCTATTTAGGTATTCAGAAAGGGAAGTATTTTAGAACAGTACATCCAATATTTTTGTTAGGCTCCTAGGTCTGTATTTTGGTATCTAAGTGGGCTTCTTGCTTTTTGTAGCCCTGAGCACTCACCAGTCCAGTAAAACTCCCTGAGAGCTGCTGGTGCTGGGCACCTCTGAAATTAAGGACACCTATTTACATACTAATTTTAGGCATCAAGGATTGACAATTTAAGCTTAAAATGCTACATATCTCTGTATTATTGCACCCTTGGTTAAAAAGCAGTATGTTTAAGTTGTCTTAGTTGTTCTTTACGAACCCCAACTGCTCAGCCAGTGCAGCTAAAAAGCCAGCCACCAACAGCCATACAAGCTTGCCAGCATGCTGCCCACTGCGGACGGAAAACCCAGTGCTTCTGTCAAGGAGGCCTGTTACAAAGCCAGGCTGTTATTTATACGCTGCAGTTCCAGCATTGTGGTAAGCATCTGCAGTGCTCACCGCTTAGTATTGTGAAATTACTTTCTGAAACATTTTGCTTTTCAGCTAGAACAAAAACGTGATTTGTTCTCATCTGGGGGGGAAAAAAATCGCCAAAAAGAAAAAAGGAGGGAAGTAAAAGATTTACAAGTTCCTTTGCTTTTTATTAAAAAAGTAAAAAAAATCAAGAGCAAAATCTGCAAAACACCCTCTTCCACTTCTAAGTAACGTGAAAACAAAACAAAAAGGGTCTCAAGATCTCTGCTGGAAAACTTGAGAAAATAAGCAATCCAAAAAACCCCTATTAAGCATTTCCAAGAGTTTCTTTTTAGCCTGAGAATATATTTTATGGAAAGCAAGGAAAATAGGGACATGTACAATTCATCATGTCAGATTAAGCAAACATACTTAATATTCCCTGAACAGGACTCTGACGGAGGCTCTCCAAAGATTAAATGTCAATATTTTACTTTAAAAAATAAAATTTCAGGGAATGTTGTAAATAGTACGTAACTTGAGGTGATACTAGATTGTACTCTAGAAACACCTTATACTTAGAGCAATCTTGATAAACTGTGCTCTCTGGCACTTGGAATAAACAATCTATTTTAAGTATTCTTGATAGCATTTCAAAAGCACAGAGAAAAAACATTTGGGAATGGAAAACAATTACCCCAATTACCCCTCTGGAAAAAGCAAAAAAGAAAAAGCATCTACACAACTGTAAAACCCCCATGTATTTATTTAAATACACTCCTGGCACTCAACTGTTAAAAAAACAACAAAAAAAATAGACTAGCGGGTTAAAAATCAGGTTTAGGTGCTGAGCTGTTACAAGGAGTAGTTCACTTTGCATTTGGACAGTGTTAAAACAACGTTTTTAATGTGGATGCTAGTGCAGAAACCGGAGATTAAACACAAAGAGACACAGACAGCTACCACATGCAGGAAAACGAGGTTACAGGCACGGCAGCACCAGGCGCTCGCCCATCACCGCGGGGAGGAGGAAGGGACAGGCATAGCAACCACAAGCCCAAAAGCAGAAAAGCGCATACCTTCAGCTTGGAATGAAAATCACGAGATTTCCTTCTGGCAAGAACCTGAATGTGACTAGACACCTGCAGGGTAGGGGAAGGGAGGAAACAAAGGAAAAGCCTGTAACCATGGAGATGAAAAGCCCCCTACAACTGGGCAAGCCAAACGTACCTTAATGGCGGCTTGAATTTCTCGAACTTTCTTTCTTGCTAAGACCTGTATGTGACTAGACACCTACATTGTTCAGGTTTATAGGGGAAAAAAAAAAACAACAAACAAAAGAAAAACAAAAAGCAAATCAAATTTAAAATGTCTATTTTTTCTTTTTTTAAAAAATAACTTTTTTGAGGGGAGGAAGTTATTTGCATCTTCAGTAAGCTCTGCTGTTAAAGATACCACATTCCCAGCCAGATACCAAGCTCTTAGCACCGAGGCTTAACAATACAGTCATCACTGCAGTGACTTGATTAAGGAAAAAAAAGGAAAAAAAAAAAAGTGTAACCCACCAGGTTGTGCATTCAGCTACAAGATAGAAGATGCCATTCACAGTTGGACACAGCCCATGTGCTTTGGTACCGATCCCATCGTGGCCAGGCCCTGTGCTCTCACACAGGGAGCCAAAAGGACTTCTACCCCATCTGCCAGGGAGGCAGATGCCCACTCTGACCATTTCCCACTAGGTTTGAGACATAACTTGGCACTGAGAAGTTTTATCCATTATTTATTGTGTTCTGTGGCTCGAACGAGGAACCTCAGGCTGTGTTTTGAACCCACTGAAATGTTTTAAATTCTGGCACAAACAATAAAATACTGACACAACACAGGTCCCTGAACCTGTGCTGGCTTCCTCAGAAATCTCAGCATCAACTCTGCCCACAATCCACTCATGTAAGTGGCGACCAGAAACTTCTAATCAGCTTGAGTGATGTCTGGGTTTGACCCATCGTCATTACATCTTGGGAAGAAAATTGTGTAAACTCAGTTCTACATTAGATCAGTTATTGGTCAGAAGCTGTTGCCTGTGCAGTGAAGGGTCTGGGCCCAGATTCACATTCCTGTTTACTCAGGCACATACTGAAATCAATGCTATTGATAATGAGGATTTAATGATGCTGCCCAGCATCACTCAGTGGTGCTCAATGTCCTATGGCCCTCTGTGTAAAGGTTTAAAACCTGCAGTGACGGTAAAAACCGCTAAAGAGAAAACTCTTATTCTTGTTTGACTCAGGATATACCATATCAGGTGTTGTACATTTTTGCTAAATTAGTTACAATTCCTATCTGGGAAAGAACAAAACAAAAGAAAAGGAGAAACAAAGGTTGATTTCCTCCCTCTATAAGGCTATTCCATGACAACAGTACCAAAAACCCCTGTATTTTTAGTAGGGATAAATGAGCACAGCCCCTGAAGGCCACCTTCAGAGACTTCTTCAGGAAGCAGTTCAGGAACTAGTGTGCAGTAATTCAGAGTTATACTCTTGCTTACTAAGCAATTCTGTAGTCAAACACGTAGACCAAGTTTTCACACGTGTTCATTTGTTTTGCTTTCAGTGGGATATTAGTGGTGTTAAAGGTTATACAAGAAGCACAATCGTAACATTTAATTCCTCAGTTGAAACTCAGAAGTAATGATAACCAAACTCTTCTGAACACTTAAAGTGATTTATGAATTGCTATAGAGGGATATACAAGTACAGAGGCAGAACATCGCCATATGTAAGCCACAACAGCCCTTTTTAGTTTCACCACAGCTCTACCAGCACATGCTGGCCAAGGATCTAGCCCCAGGGTCTGCATTTTGACTCCTGATGCAATTTTAAGATCCCAACATAACCCTGACTCTTGAAGCTCACAAGGGCATAGCAGTGCAGAACTTGTGACTTCGTATTTTGTTTCAGATTTCTTTGTCAATCTTTTGTTTGTTCCCTCTCCATGCACTGCAGTTTCTCTCCTTTCTCATGTCTTTTTTCATCCCTCATACATGTTTTCTTCTTAACTGACAAAGGACACCACCCAGGGCAAAATATCACCCAGTTCAAAGTGCTTTAAATCCAAGCGCTGGCAGCAGGCCATCTTTGTGTGTGTCGACTTAGCATCACCTTTCCCTGCACTACAAACATGCGTATCATGCAAGTGTACAAGCCTCTGCCTTCCCCTTTGTCACGCACATGGATGGGGAGACGGGGAATCTTGCACTGGACATTAGAGGAAGTGAGGGGACTCTGTGATTTGCGAAGCATTTTGAAACAGCACAAGGGTTTAGTAACCACTGTGTAAACTACGCAGAGTGTGTGCCTTCTGTGAGGCTGCTGATCGCCGTGGATATTACAACTTAAAGGATTTAGTCATATGAAATAAGTTAATGGTTATGTGATAATAATCGGAAAAAGACTTAAGACTGGTTAGAGGTTTTTTCTGACTCTTTGAGGAATTAAATCTTACCATGGTCACAGACCAGGAGCCTGAAGGCTCTTAGGGGAATTTTTTTATTATTTTTTCATCCTGTAGAAAGTACTGGCCATGAGCTGAGAGTGTGATTACGATCAGTCGTCCTAGATAGTTTTTATTTGTTTACCTCTCAAATCCAAGGATCATAACCTCTATTATATAGGCAAATTTGCTGTACTTTTAGAAATTCCATTATTCACCATCTTGAAAAAATCATTATATTCTGCAATTGTCCTTATAGAGAAATAAGGCACATGCTTTATGCTTCTGTTTCAACTTTTGATTTTTTTTTTCTCAAATATGGGGGATAATAGCTTAATGTACACATAGGTTAATAAAAAATGCATCCTCAAACCACCACTGAACTGATGCACAACATTAAAAAAAATGGAGTTTTAAATATTTTCTAAACAGTATGTATTTAATCTGAACAGTGAAGTCAATACATCATCTCATCAGAGCTGAAGCACAGACAACCACTGCAGCCAAAAATGCCATGTTTTGTCATTCACTGACATGCATATTTCCCCACTGGGTTATTTTACCTGCTTCCTGGTCCGTGTCTTCCCTGTTCTAAGTTTGATGTATCTGGCTATCAATTCATTCCTACCTGAAACAAAGAAAAATTCATGATAAGGGACAGGCAGCATCACATCCATAAACAACATAAAAATACCACATTTAGACATATGAGCTCCATGCATATGAGGCTTATATTTTCTTACATCTACTCCACTTTTCCTTTGCAAACTATTTATTAGTATTTATCGTTGTTCATCAGTATTTCTCTTCCCTTTCCTTAACAGACATTGTACACACCACATGAACAATGCAGAGGGCTACAGGTTCAGTGTTTTCTCACTGAAGTCCTGCAGCTGTTTGGAGGCTTAGAGGCACCTCCTTGGCCAGTTGTGATGCCCAGGATGATCTCTTGCTGGAGAACCCCTCATCCCAGGGGCTGACACAAGGTCTGGTCTCCTCTGGTTTTGCTTCTGACTGGGCCGGGTGGTGTTTGCCCCCCTTGATCCCTGCTGGGAGGAGCAGCTGCTCCTGAGAAGGTCTTTGGCCACCAGAGCCAAAGTGCCAATCACCCAGATGTTACGGTTTTGCATCAGCTTTTCTCCAAGTTTTAATTCTATGAGGAGGACAGCAAAATCTACCCTTCCTCCCAGGAAGCACTCCACTTCCTCCACTGACAGAAATCACTGTCCCATTCAATCACATCCTTAATTCTACCCGTAAGAGTGGTGACCCGGTTTCTGCTGCGGTGGGGCTGATCAACACGGTGGTTTGTTATTCAGAGCTCTATTTCTCTTGGAAATATTTCTGAAATAGCTATTTGTATCTTCTTCAGTCTCACATTATGCTACCTAATACAAACTAACATTTTCTGTCCAAATAATTTCCTTCCTAAACATTGCTGACATGGAAGATAACATAGCTTTATGTGATGTCCTGTTTATTTTCACTGCATATTATGTTACTTCTCCATGAGTTGCAATAACTGAAATGTACTTGTTCAACAAGTCCTAAGTTATGAAGTTATTTGCATTCAGCACAGGGGATAAGCAGTCTGTGTGTAGAAAATGAGAAAACTGATTTAGCAGCAAGCTGAAAACGAGGAGGTTAAGAAAATAACTTGTCACCCACCTAGTTACTTTAAAGTGGATGAGTACACAGCTGGGGAGTGCAGAAAGTTGTCATATCAGCCAGAGACTCAAACTCTTTCAGTTTGATGTTGTGAGGGAGAGATGGAGAAGTTTTGAAGTAGCCTGTCTATGTCTGAAGGGCATTTTGTTGACTGGATGACAACACAATTAGTTAAACTAGACCTTAATTTTCCTTTTTTCTTCTTCTTTTTCCCCTCTGAGCCTTATTTTACACCTTTTGTATCAAATGTCTCATGGTTCCTGTGTCTTCCATTGTTTGTTTGCTAAATGGGTACTAGAATATGAAATATCAACATGCTTCAGAGTAGAGCTGTGTTTTCTCCTATTCCCTTTTTGTTTTGGTCTGGACTGTGTGCCGGGTTTCCTGCAACGTGCCACTGTAATGGTGACATGAGGTTTGTAACTCTTCAGCAGGTCTCTTCAGGACAAACTTCAAGAGGTAAATTTTGCATGAGCAAACAGTTACACAAACAAGCAACATTTCTGCACACAAATGAGGGATTTCCGTATGCAAACAGAGGAGCAGCTAGTTACCTAATTTCATGCAAAGACCTTGTCTTTTGGCTGGACCGAAGTTCTGCAGCCTGTTATGTGCACAAGGTACATATCGTTTGCAGTGAACAAGAGTCTTTGTGTTCATGGGGTGAAACCAGGGAATGTTCAATCTCTGTATCGCTCTATTCTCCTGTTCTTTCTCATAATCCAAACAGTTCACTTCAAATACTGAGAATTGTCATATTTCTAAATGCATATTTGGATTTAATTGGGGAATGTCTCCCCTCCAGAAAGTACCTTCTTTGCATATCTTAAAGTATCTGCATACATTAAGCACTTACAATAGTTTTTTGATGCAGAAAGCGTTGTTGGGTCATCCTTATCAGCAGCCAGTGACTCTGCAAGGTCAATGACTGTATAAGGTGTTGTAAAGGATGTGTTGCCATCTCTTGTCCCTCTGTCTGTACTGAAGATGTTTCAGATACATGGTCACAGCACAAGTCACTCCAGCCATTCCCTGCCCATCAAGGCAGTCCCATGCAGCCCTCAGCTGTAGCTGGGGAAGGAAGAGTTAAACCTTTTCACAGTTTCACAGTTTTCTTCCCAGTCAAGAGAGCTAAAAAATTATTTTTAAAGGAAAGCTCAGATTCCCAGGCAGCCACTTAACAGGAAAAGCAGCTTTATAAAAAACACCAAGCACTGAAAGTCTAGGCTGTATTATTCAAAATACCAGTCAAGTACTGTCTCCAGTTGAGCCCTAGTTCATCCATTAAGTGCTTTGGCTTGAATCAAGGGGAGATTTCTCCAGCTGCTATCTAGCCCAGCAGGGGTACGACTAACAAGACTGTGGTTTTGCAAAGTGATCGCTTCCCCTTAAGGTGAAGTCCTGCTAAAGCCTAGCTCAAGAACAGGTAACAGGGTGGAACAATCCGACCTAACTTACAGGGAGGAGGAACTCTACAAGGAACCATGCAAAGTGGCCAAGGTAACACTCCTACATTACTATGTTTTCAACACGGCAAAGAAACATGCATCAGGTTTAGCCAGAGCAGGAAATAGCCTCATGAGGCTCACTAAATACCTTCTGCCCAGCCACAACGACCTGAAAAGACATATTTCTTTTTTGGAGTGCCAAAAAGCCATAAACACAAACATAAGCACTGCCTGACTGTCCTGTTTCAGCTGGGACGGAGCTAATTTTTTTCTTAACAGCTAGAATAGCGCCATGTTTTGGATTTAGTATGGGATTTGGTATGAGAAGAATGTTGACAATATACTGATGTTTTTAGTTGTTGCTAAGAAATCAAGGACTTTTCAACTTCTCATGTTTTGCTAGTGTGCAGGTGTGGAAGAAGGACTTGCAGCAAGTTGAGGAGCAGCATAGCAAGAGCAACGGATCCAAATTGGCCTATAGGATATTCCATATCATATAATATCATGTTCAGTATATAAATTAGGGTTGGCCATAAAGGTTACTCTCACTCTTCTGGCATTGTGGTTTCGAGATCTCTCTCCTCCTCCAGGACTGCTAACTTGGAACAAGCTGGGCCTTGGTCAGTGGGTGGTGAGCAACTGTATCATGCATCATTCATTTGGATATTCTATCATTATTTTTTTTGTTGTTATTGTTACTATTATCATTATTATTTCATTGTATTTCAATTATTACATTGTATTTATCTCAACCTTCAAGTCTCCTTACCCTTACCCCTCCAATTCTCTTCTCCACCCCCTGGGCAGGGGGAGGGTGAGCGTGGCATTTAGTTGCCTGCTGGGTTAAACCACGACACTAACATACACAAGACAGACATTCCCAACTAAAAGTTTACAGCCTTTATGTTATCTACCAAATACTGGTGCTATTCTTTACCAACTCTGACAGGTACTAACAGAAAAGACCTTATCTCCTGATCAGCTGAGGCCCAGAGAGGATTTTAAAGAAAGGAAGGCTTAATAA